AATTATAATAAAAGTTTCAGGTTATTACACTTGAATTAAAGTGTTTTTTGAGGATCTTAAAGAAGGAGATGATGTCTTTTGAACATCAAAAGCAAATACCAATAGTGCTTTCATGTGACTTGCCACCAAACAAAGGAGATATGCCAACTCTACTGCTTTATTTGGGTCTTCAAACTTCTACTCATCTGGTCGTATTCCTTCTTTTCTCTTTTACTTGCATTACTTGTTGGTATTGGTTAGATGTACATTTCATATTGAGGACAATGCATGGTTTAAGTGTAGGGGAGGGATTTTGTTTCTACTTTTGGTTTTTGTTTTTTGTTTTTAAAATGAGGAAAAGAAAAATATTTTGGTTTTTACTTTCGTTTTTGTTTCTTATTTTCAAGAAAAGAAAGAAATTTTCTGTTCAAAAATTTTTTTTGTTTATTTTATTCTGAATGTGAAGATTGCAAGTTTGAAGTGATTCAAATATGATGCATTCTTGATTTGAAAAGTGATTGATCATGTTTTGAGCGGATAAGCTAAGTGGCAATGGATTTGACTTAAGTGAATTTAAGCTAGCAATCATGTACCTAGTGAGGTTTTGAGCCTGATACATGTCTTCTTTTCATGTGTGTATACTCCTATCTCTTTTCTCAATCTAGAACTTGACTTGAATCTTGTTTGAGACCACGTTTGTGCATTTGCATTCATAAAGATGATAAAGGCATTCAGTTTAATTTTTCTAGCCAGATAAGCCAAAAGCCTACCCTTTTCTACATTTATCCTTTGCTTAACCCCTTTTGAGCCTTCATCATTTTTTCTCTCTTAACCCATAGCAAAAAAAAAAAAAAATCTTACCCTTTTTGAATGTCTTAGGAGTTGAAGAATGTTATATTATATGTGCTTGGGATGGAGGAACACATTTGGAGTTATGGTTTGGGTCAATTTGAAAAAAAGAAAAAAAAATATTGTAATAAGATTCCGCTCCTCTAGTTTAAGCTGAGCTCAGTAACCGGGGATCTTCATCACCAATGTTGATCTTCGCATCAAAAGGCCAGTAAGGGCTATGAGCGTGCTAGTAGCATCTTAGTGCCAATGAGTTATCCATGCTTGAGTAACCGGGCCTTTGTATCACCAATATGAAGGTTCGCGTCAAAAGAGCATATACATAACGGCCTAAGAAAGTTTTAAAAAAAAAGTGCTTGAAAAAAAAAGAGAAAAAAAAGAAAAAAGAAAAAAAGAAAAAGAATGACCCAATTCAAGTTTAGTTAGTTTCTTACATTCCATTATATTTTTTTTATTGACTCTCTTCATTTTCTAAGATGTTCAACTTGATAAAGCCTAATTTTTATATATTTTATCCCACATTAATTCAAGATTTAAATGATAATTTTGAGCTTAATTAGATTTTTTATGCATAATTGGATAAATTGGTTGATTTTTGGATTTTGCATAAAAATTGAGATTTTAGATTGAAAATATGAATATTTTGTGCTTTCTTATTTTTGACTTGAAATTAATTTTTCCTATTTCTTTGAAAACAAGTCTCAATTATATACCAATATTTCAATTTTTCATTTGAATACTTTTCGTTATATACCAATATTATACATTTTCATGCATAAAAATATCAAATTATATTAGGTTTAGGTAGTCATTTGTTTATAACAAATATATTTTTAAAACCCACTTTAATTCTATATACCTTTGTTACCTATTCTACCTACTTTCATTTTTTAATTATACTTCCGTAAAAAACTCTTCTATAATATCAAACAAGTCATAAAGCAAGTATGAATCCAAAACTTAAATTTTGTTTTGCTCACGTCCTCCCTTAATTAATATCTTACTTGAATATTAAGGTGTTTGAACTAAATAAGTCTTTTACTTAAATATATTTCCGTTGAAAATTATTTTATTGATTTCCAGAATGACCGACTCAAAAAGAAGATACGGCCTCAGTCATACGCTAACTTGACAATTCTTTTAGGTGAAATATAGAAATCTTTCTCTATAAAATAATTTGCATGTGAAATTACAAGCCTAATATTCCGTGCAAAATTGAGACTGGATAAAAGTAATGGACAGGTTCAAACAACAGTTTACTTTTTTATTCAAAATAAAAAAAGTCAGGGGAATAAATTTGGTTGAATTAATCCTCAAATGACTAAAACCAATTTGACAATTTCAATCTCTTGAACTTAAAGCTCTTTTCTCTTAATAGAGCATGTCCTGCAATTCTTTGAAACGATGTCATTTTATATAAGTTTCAATCCTGGTGGTATCATGGGAATGGGTCAACCCATTCAGGTCTGCTTTTTAGAAATGGGGTGTTTTTTTTAAGGGAAAATGATTTAAAAAAATGAAAATTACTAAATGTCAAACAAGAAATATCAACAAAAAATTGTTGTTATTTACAAATTTAGTGTTGTCAACACCAAATAAAATATTATTACCAAACTTGATTTGGGATTTAGTAATTTTTAGTTTTTTTTTGTCATTTTTCCTTTTTTTAAGGCCTAACCTTTGAGCTCATGGGTTCTGGGCCAGCCCGTGTGCTTCAAACCCATTTAACAAAATTATTTTATTTTTCATATATTTTTATAAAAAATGAAAACAAAACGGAAAAATTACTCATTAAATGGATAAATATAGCTAATAATTCATCAGTCTCTTGAGTTTTTCCTTGTTTTGATCGTGGGAAAGATATGATGCTACTAAGTTCAAGTCCTCCTAATGTGTGAAAAAATTAATTCTCTTCAAAAATAAAAATTTTAAGTTTAAATTACTCAAAAATAAAGTATGAAAAGTTTTAATAAATTATTTATCTCATGTCTCCTTTAAAAGAAATAACCCAGTCTCATTTTTTTTCGTAATATCTATAGCGGATATAGAGGTTGGCACAGTGTGAATACTACAGGATTCTAGGTCACAATTATTTCATGAAAATATTTTATTTCAATATCCAAATAATGACATTTAATGAAATACTCAAAAAGAATTCTCCGGAAACATCAATCATTCATCTCATCAAAATTTTCTCAAGAGGAAAATCTTATCTTTCTTTTATTTGTGGTTTAAAGAATTAAAACCATAATTCACTAAGCACAACAACAGGAAAACCCAACCGTTGCATCAACAGAATGATTGAAGAAACTCAAGGAAAGGGAAGGCGTTGCGTGAGTGTGACGGTGTGTGGGAGGGAGCAAGATTTGAGCGAAGTGAAAGCGAGAGAGATGGAGAGTATAGAGCTAGAATTTTCTACTTTTCCAGCTGTTAAAAAAATAAACATATATTACTTGCACATTAATTATTAGCTAACTTTAAAAAATTTTTTTGGCTGGCCCTTTAATTTTCTGCCAGATAAAGCAGGCCTTTTTAAGTTCAACTGATCTTAAACAAGTCGGCCCGTTTTTCGGCCTCTGTTCATCATCATTTTTATCTCCTTTCTTGCTTAAGCTTCACACTATATTTTAGGTTTATCATCTCTTTTTGACAACTATAAAATACTACAGCGACCTGATTCAAAATTTGATGAAATTATATAAAGATTGGAAACTTATTTTTTTATCAGAGAAAATTACAATTAATGGCCTCATTCTTTCCAAATCTCATGTGGGTCCAAGTCTTCTTCCACTTTTCAATTTATTTCATTTTTCCTACAAAATAAAACGGACAAAAGTAGATTTTGTAATTTTTATCCTGAAAATTTAGTTTAATATATATAATAAGTTAAATGGTTATAAAACATTTATAAATTTAATTCAATATCCAAAATCTGAACTTATTTAATTACAAAATATACACATATCACATGTAACTGTTATATTTATGTGAGTTCGATGCCTAAATAGCCATAAAATAAAATACTATGTTCCAATAAATTTATATAAAATAAAATAATCGTCAAATTTTAGCATTTTCACAGCAGGGGTTTGCTCTTTGTTCTTCGTCCTACCTTATCTTCGTCTTCAAATTAAAGATTTCCTTAACAAAGTAGACTACTGGTTTTCGGAAATAATGATGGATATGAACTTCTGATTAGGTCATTGATAATAATATCGTACCGAAACTTAACCCATTCCTTTATCAACCTTTTTTTCCTTTTCTTTTGTAAAAACTCACACACACACACACACACACACACACACTAAACCTTCTCAAGTGTATGCAAATAAAGTTTGCAATGACTTTGTGTGTGTATGCACTTACATGTGCGCAAAATGAAAACTTAAGACATGAAAAGTTGACACAAAATTACGTTCAATTGTGATTTAAAATTAACATTGGTGGCATTGCGATTGTAAATTTAAATTTTAAAAGAAGACAAGAAATGACAGAAAGAATTAAAAAAAAACTACGACTATAAGTAGCAAGAACTTAGCAATATTATTAATAGTATTATTATTTTGTAAAATAAAGAACGTCAACGAAAGATGAGAAGGTAAAATCATCAAATATTTAAAACCATGTATAGAATAGGAGAACGAAAGGGGTCATGGGAACAAATTAATTAAACCATCTGAAGACTTTACCAAGTCTAAATTAACTTTCTTCCTCCAAGGAATCAATCAATTATATATTATACTACAAACTTCATAATCCGTTTTCCCCCCCTGTTTTGCCCCCTGACTGTCCTATTCATAGTTTCATACTCTTCCTCATAGGGAAGGGAAGGGTGACCCGCACAAAATATTTTCATGCATAAAAGTATTTTTTTTAAAAAAAAAGTTATAATACTGATGAGAAACAGTAATCGCAAGGAAGAATTCAAATATTGATATATTTTATAACATAGCAACTTTGACATGTTGAGTAAGTAAAAGATACTTTAGATATGCTAATCGTTGAACGGCTCCAGCCATGGACTAAATATAATGTCAATATTTGCTACCTTACAATGTGGATACATTTGTTTTGATTAAGTCGAAACAAAAAAAATAATACTAATTCAACAATGACGGCTCCTCTCCTAGTCTATAAATAGATTACAACAACAAAACATGTGGTCACAACAAACACACAATTCGAAGTTAAAGAAAGGATTTGAGAAAGATGAAAGTTTCAGTAGGGATCTCTCTCATTGCCCTCTTGGCCTTGGCTTGCTCTTTTGCTTCTGCCTATGACCCCAGCCCTCTTCAAGATTTCTGTGTGGGTGTCAATGATACCAAACTTGGAGGTACGTATGCACACAATAATACCATGCATGTATACCTCTATATTTTTTTTTCATTGATTAGTAACATTGACTTGCTTTTGTGCAGTATTTGTTAACGGGAAATTCTGCAAAGATCCCAAGCTTGTGAAAGCTGATGACTTCTTCTTCCACATAATGGAAGGCAACACATCAAACCCATTGGGTTCCCAAGTGACTCAAGTGTCTGTAAATGAATTCCCAGGACTCAACACTCTTGGTATCTCTCTTGCTCGTATCGATTATGCTCCCTATGGTCTGAATCCTCCCCACATTCACCCTCGTGCCACAGAGGTGCTGACTGTCCTGGAAGGAACTCTCATGGTTGGATTTGTGGCCTCAAATCAAAATGACAATCGTTTATTTACTAAAGTACTCAACAAAGGAGACGTGTTTGTGTTTCCCTTTGGTATGATTCACTTTCAGCTCAACGTCGGCCATGCCAGTGCTGTTGCACTTTCTAGTCTCAGTAGCCAAAATCCAGGGGTCATTACTGTTGCTAAGGCTGTGTTTGGATCCACTCCTCCCATCTCTCGCGATGTTCTCACTAAAGCCTTCCAAGTTGACAAGAATATAATTGCCTATCTTCAAAAGCAGCAATGGTACGATAATAACTAAACACGCTATTCACTGCGTACCCATTATTGTTCTGTAATAAATAAATAAATCAGATGCATGCAACGATCTTGTGTTGCAAGACAATCATGCAAAATCAATATTCTATCCTCATGTAACTTCATTTATATATTTTTGGAATAACTAAATATGTTGTGTTCTCTTTTACCTTGCACCTTGTTCTCCTTTCCAATTTCCTCTGGCTTCCTGCACAAGTCGTACTGCTCACCTCATAATACCATGTACTTATACCTCTGTGAAGCCAACGTTCGACGTCTTATCTGTTACGTACTTAGTTTTACTTTCGGTTTAGCTAAACAAATATTACCTCCGGTCCTTAATATAACTCTATTTGACTTTTATTTTGATCTTAAATATAAGACCCCAATCTACTTTGTCTCTGATATTTACTCAATTTTTTTCAAGATAGTTCTAATAATTATAGTTCTAGTCAATACACTTGATTAGTAAAGATATTTTAGGAAAGATAACACCTATTTAGGACAAATAATTAACTCAACTTACTTATTTAATCTCCTCAAATTAATCAACTGACTCCTATAATTAGAACTGGAGGTAGTACATCCGTTTGGATCTGCGATGGAAACACTTTCACATAAATCGAGAGAAAATTCCACTCACATGCTTTTCTCATGTGCCGTACATCACAATTGAAAAGTTTGCTTGTAAGCCATTCCAACTAAGCCTAAAAAAAAAAAAAAGTAATATACATTGTTTTTTCTGTTCAGATAACTGCTTGCTGTCCTGTAACAGGAACGTCAAGGAATAAAGTAATAAATTGCTTCGCACATTCTGATTATATCAGCTAAATTACAGTCTTTGGTTTACTATTTTCTTCTTTCACTTCTCCAGAAATTGGAATATTTGATGCTACAAGATTTGACGGCTTTGACTTTGTGATTGTGATTTCGTTGATACGTTAATGCCTTTAACTTGACGTACAGGATTAAAATAGTACGCAATATATCAAATTTTTGTTAAGGATTGAATGTTTGTTTAAAATGAACATAAGAATCTGATATCAATAATATAGAATATATAAGCAATTTTAGAAATCACTGTGTAGACAAATTGAAGTATGTATTTTCTACCGGAAGAAGTTTGAAATATTTTAAGCAGACACGTGTGATTATTTCTGAAATCATGAAATCTCATAATGATTTAGAAATGATTCGGTATGATCAGATGTTCTGAAATATAATCCATTGGTTGCATTGATGTTTGAAATTATTTAGTTTCTTATGTAAGTTGCAACATGCTTATCCAAACATCACCTCATTGCTGGGCGCTTGAAAATTTTTTTGGGTGCAAATCCAAAAGTTTAAAATATTGTCTCCTACCATTAAGAATGTTAATAGTAAATTTCACTATTTTAAATATCAATGTTAGTTTGTTAATTGTAGGGGTAATATTGCTATAATTTTAAACTTTGGGAGCAAATTTGCATCCAAAATATCTTTCAGATGCTCAGCGATCTTGAGTAAAAACTTTGAGGATAAGTTTATATCTTTTTTGAATGGTTTAGATTTCAAATTTTTAATTTACAGTTTTTTCAATAACAAATTTTTTTTTAGAAGTTTCAGTAATAAAATTATCTTTATTTTAAATTTGGTGTTAATTAAAATAAAAAGTTATTTAAAATATAAAAATATTTAAATTAAATCTGAAGCATTCAAAATATTTCTTATGTGCTCCCCACACCCATGCCTGTGCACAAGATGAAAATTAAAGACTTGAAAAGTTGACATAAAGTTACGTTGTGTTTTAAAATTGACGACGGTACCATTACGAATGTAAATTTAAGTTTTAAAAGAAATACAGACGTCTTCTTGCAGACTTTTCTAAGCAAGAAATGCAAGACAGAAGGAGAGAGAATAACAAACTGTGAACATAAGTAAACATCTTTGCAATATATCGGTATTATTATTTTGTGGAATAAAGCACTGAGAAACGTCAGCGAAAGAAGAGAAGATAAAATACTCTTATATTCAAATCTATTCATATAATATATAGTAGAAAGAAAGGGTCATGGAAACATGCTTACGTTTGATTTTGTGTGAGAGAGAGAGAGATGAGATAATTTTAAAGACTTTACCAAGTCTTAACTAAGATGTCACCCATTCTAGGTAATATATCAGAAGACATATAATGGTTTGAGACATTTAATTTATATTCCCTGTGAATCAAAACTTTGGAAAAATTATAAATAATTCTGGTATGTAAAAATCTCATAATAAGAAATGTAGGGCACAATGTTATCCTTGTAACATTAGGCCTAGAGTTGTGATGAAGAGCGATGAGAAGAAGTCCAAGTCAAATCTTAAGTACCTTGTTAATTAATGAATGCTTCCAGCAATGCATTAAAGATAATATTAATAATTGATAGAGTAATGTGGATATATATTCCTTTTGATTAAGTAAAAAGTAAAAACGAATGCTAATTCAACATACGAGGAGGGCTGCTTCCTTGAGCTATAAATAGATGGCAACCGGATCTGCATTCTGTCACAAGAAACACAATTTGAAGAAAGGATTTGAGAAAGATGAAAGGTTCAGTAGGGATCTCTTTCATTGCCCTTTTGGCTTTGGCTTGCTCTGTTGCTTCTGCCTATGACCCCAGCCCTCTTCAAGATTTCTGTGTGGGTGTGAATGATACCAAACTTGGAGGTAAGTACACGCACTATAATACCATGCATATTTTATGTTATTTTTTCACCCAGGACTCAAACATGAGACCTCTGGTTAAGCTAGAGTAGCTCCCTTACCACCTGAACTACATTATCATTGGTCTATATATCTAGTCATTCTGTTAATTAGTAATGAATTTGTTTTTGTGCAGTATTTGTGAATGGGAAATTCTGCAAGGATCCCAATTTGGTGAAAGCAGAAGACTTCTTCTTCCGCATAATGCCAGGGAACACAGACAACCCATTGGGCTCCCAAGTGACTCAGGTGTCTGTAAATGAGTTTCCAGGGCTCAACACTCTTGGAGTCTCCCTTGCTCGTATCGATTACGCATCTTATGGTTTGAATCCTCCCCACACTCACCCTCGTGCCACTGAGGTGTTGACCGTTCTTGAAGGAACTCTCATGGTTGGATTTGTGGCTTCCAATCAAAACGACAATCGTTTATTTACCAAAGTACTCAACAAAGGAGAGGTGTTTATATTTCCCTTTGGTATGATTCACTTTCAACTCAACGTTGGCAAAGACGATGCTGTGGCACTTTCTAGCCTTAGTAGCCAAAATCCAGGAGTCATTACAATTGCTAAAGCCCTGTTTGGATCCGATCCTCTCATCTCTCCTGATGTTCTCACTAAAGCCTTCCAAGTTGACAAGAACATAATTGCCTATCTTCAAAAGCAACAATGGTATGACAATAACGTCTAAATAGCCTATCTCCTATATATACCTCCATAATTCTAGTTCGTATTCTGGAGTAACTAAATAAATATAAATGCTTGCAGCTTTATGTTGTCTCCTCTATTATATGACAGGCATGCAAGCATAATCTACACTGTTTACTCATGTAACTTCATTTATATATATCTCGGAATAAATAAATATGATGCTTCTTTTTAACCTGTTGCCTTGTTCTCTCTTCCAATTTCATTTGGCTTTGCATATTCTGATTAACATCAGTTAATTATTAAACTCATGTTTGACGATTTTCTTCTTTTCTCTTTATTCTGAGTCCTACGTACCTTACTACTTTTTATATCTGTCTCCAAAGTTCGCTTCGACAAGGTAGACTCGTTTCAGAAATTATGATGACAACGTTCAACCGCGGCTAATTAACCATAAAAACTCATTTATGTTCTATGAGAATAAAAACGATGTCGTTCTTTAACATACAGCTTATTGCTTGAGTGAATATATTTTAATGATTGATGTCATAAATTACAAAATAAATATAAGCAAAAAAAAATACGCAGGCAAAATTACGTGCAATTTTAAAATTATCGTTGTAGCATTACGATTGTAAATTTTAATTTTTAAAGAAGGAGAAAACGTCTTCCTGTAGACTTTTCTAAACAAGAAATGAGAGAGGGAGAGGGAGAGAGAGAATAAAAAAACTTTGAACATAAAATAGTAAGAAACTTAACAATATTATTAGTATTATTAATTCTTTGAGCAATAAAACACTGAACGACGCCACCGAAAGAAGAAAAGTCAACATAATCGTACATTTAAAACTATTCATAAAATAGTGTAGTAGTAAGAAAGGGTCGTGAGAACATGCTTGTGTTTTTGAGAGAGAAAGAGAGAAGAAACATCAAGAAACCATATGAGATTATAATTTTGTCTTAACTCGTATCAAGTAATTAATCAATTATATACGTATGAGAGGGAGAGAGAGAGAGAATTGAAATGGAACAGTTCTCCATTGCTGCACTTGAGTTCTCCAGGGCTGTTCTTGCGATTTGATTCCTCCCCTCTAAGGAGATGTTTGGATGAAATCAAACTATAGTTTAAAAGTAATTCTATGATATACAAAGTAAATATGTAAAAAAATTTTTGTCTCGACTTTGCAAAATTACTTTTTTTTCAAGCGTTTTTACTTGATACCTAATACCTCCCATGTTTGCAAACTATGGAAAGTAAAATTAGGGATTTAGTAAGGAAAAATTACAAATGAAGACCCCTGAATATGTAAAATTATGATTTGGGATCTTAAATTTGGAAAACAGCAAATAAGGATGCAATTCCACTTTTGCAAATATGAAATGTAGATGAAATGTCTGAAATACCCCTCGGTCAAATGAAAAATTGATTATAAAAAATGACAAGTTCACTTTAGCGAATGTCAACTTCAATAGATCAAATCACAACTTGACTGAGGGTATACCAAATGACAAGTTGACTATAAGAAATGACAAGTTTATTTTAGCGAATGACAATTTCAATAGACTAAATCACAATTTGTCTGATGGCCATTTTAGGCATTTCACCCACATTTTATATTTGTAAAAGTAGGCCTGGGTCTTTACTTGCTATTTTTCCAATTTAGAGTCCCAAATCATAATTTTATATATTTAGGGGTCTTTATTTGTAATTTTCCCATTTAGTAAGAAGGGTAAATTAATAAATAAAATTTATTTTAATATAAATTTTAATTTAAAAATATATTTGTAGAATCTGTTCAAAATATTTCTAATAAAGTTATTGGTTTAGACTTAAATGTATGTTTTTAAAATAAAGAAAGTCTGTATAATTAAGACAACATAAAGGAGGTGATAGTATTTTGCTCTATCTTTTATGTCTGTTCACTCCTTCCCTTTTATTAGATATACTCATTGCTTATGTTAACACTATATCTAGTTTTTAGTGTAAAGCTAGTTGGGAGTTGAATTTGATTCTAAATATAAGACTTTAATTCACTTTGTCTCCCATCTTTTCCAAAAATATTCTTATTGATTGTAAAGGGTTCCGACCAATAGATAATTCCAATTATTTGATCCAGTGCCAACACATATGACAAATAACTAACTTAATTAATTTTTCTAAGTCATAATTATCAATTTTTTAGGTTCTTTGTTTGTGATTTTTCCAAGAGCATACCTTCTCCAAGGAAAATTGGTAAGAGTAAATATTGTTATTTACTTTGCAAACAAAAAAATAATTATATTATTTCTATACTATATAAACTCACACATAACTATATAAATAATTTAATATATTATTAAATATATATTAATAATTAATGTCCTTTTTTATTTAAAAAATATTTGGTACAGTAATCTTTCTACTATATATTTTACTTTTTATTTTTATTTGTATAGATCTGTCAATAAAGATTGGCCTGACCTAAAGAGCCAGCCCTTGAAAAAGGGTTTGGGGTTATTATATTTAAAAGAATGCGAAAACGTCTTCCTATAGACTTTTCTAAACAAGAAATGAAGGTGGGGAGGAGAATAACAAAAATTGAATGAGCAACTTAACATCATTAATTTTTGGCCAAAAAAAACTTAACATCATTAATTATTTCGTGAAATAAAACACTGACCGACGTCAACGAAGAACTAGGTCAACATAATCGTACATCTAAAAGTATTCATAAAATAGTAGTGAGAAAAAGTCATGGGAACATGCTCGAGTCTTTTTTTTTTTTTTTGGTGACAAGTGAGGCTGACGTCTAAAGCAAATTATAAAAGCAAAGAGTGCACTTGGCGACGCCATACCCTAACAGATCGTTAGGATATACATGCTCGTGTTTTTGAGAGAGGCAGAAGAGACATCAAGAAACTGTATGAGACGATAAAAGTTTAAACCGGTCCCATAATTGGAAAAAAAAAAAGGAACCGTTTCAGCAGTTACAGATACTTTTAATTACTATATTACTACCTCCAATATTTAATATAAGACCTAATTAACTAATTTGATGAGATTAAAAAAATTAAATAAATTCTTTTAAAGTATTATATTTATCATTTTTTTTAAACTAATTTGTTCGACTTATAAACTGACATATAATTTAATAACACATATAAGTATCTTTAAAAAAATTATATAATAATATGCTATAATTAAGTAACTGTTTAGTTTCCTTAATTTTCTTAAATTAATCAATTGGGTCCTAAATTAATTGAAAAAATATAGGAACCATTTCAGCAATTACAGATTTTTTTTTTTGGTTCAAAGGAGGAAGTGTATACCATGCCACGTCTCGAACACGCAACCTCTTAAAACATTCACAAAGAATGCATACAGAACCATTTCAGCAATTACAGATGTTTTTCATTACTATATTTCTACCTCTAGTCTTTAATATAAGTTAAATAAATTATTTTAAAGTATAGTATTTATTGTTTTTCTCCAAACTAATTTGCTCAACTTATACACTGATATATAACTAAATAATACATATAAATGTTTTAGAAAGATCATATAATATATGTTATAGTTAAGTAGCTATTTAGTTTTCTTAATTTTTTTTAAGTTAGCCAATTGAGTCCTAAATTAAGTATTGGAGGTGGTACTATATATGTCGTCCAATTAGAACAAGAAAACAACTAGGAGTAGTGGTCCTTTAATTTCTCAACGTTTCTATCGTTTTACCATGCATGCATGGGGAATCTATCAAAATTTGAAGAATTTTGAAGACGAAAGATGAATTTTGCGTTGGGTTAATAGTAAAAGAATGCTATCTGATCAATTTCTTTAATATCTACTCATTCCAGTTTTCAAAAGATGTAATAGATGAATTAAAAAGGAGAGAAAATATATGGGATAAAATTGAAAAAAATCTCATTAAATGCTTGAATAAAAGTCAATGTTATCGTATAAAAGAAAAACTAACCCTTTTAAGAAAGTTTAACTTATATTTTGAACTAGAGGGAGTAGTAAATAGTTGTGCATTGAATTTTGTAATTTTTTTCAAACTAATTTACTTAAAATATAATATTACAAGGTTGTTTTAAAAAGATTAAATCATCTTTATTATAATTAACTAATTTTTTTATTTTTAATCTACTTAAATTAGTTAAATAGTTCTTTGTATTAAGAATTGGAGGAAGTATTTCCAAGTTCCATCTCTTTTCATTAGCCATGGTGAGCGTAGGTCATTTTTTATTGTATAATTAATGTTATTTGCTTAGAACAAACTTAGTCAATTGATAAATTGGTTTTGATGGTAACATAATATTTTGGAATCATTTCAGATTATATAAGATTCGATAATTTAACTTAATGTTTAATTATTGGGTTAAGGTGAGCACACGACCATGAAGTATTTTACTAGATGATTCTAATACTATAATATATTTTGAGATTCATTCAGCATATTAAAATATTTTTTTCAAATGTGTTCAGCACTATAAAAATATTTTGTAGTGCAATTCTTTTCCCAAAAGTGTTAATTTTTTCAGAAGCAGCTGTACTCTTACATTATTTTTCAGGAAATATTTTAATCTCGCTGTTAACTCATCTAAAATCCATTAAATGACTATGCATTAACCCCTATAAAATATTTTTTAATTATTTTTTATAGTGCTGAACACAACTAAAATAATATTGGAAAAATCCTAAAAAATGATCGTTGAATTTCAAAATTCTAAATCAGTATTGGTGATTACACTCACAAAGAAAATGATTATACTCGAAAAGCAAATGACAATACATTTTTGTAGTAGTTTCTGATTTGAAATTTTGAAATTCAACAGTCATTTTTTTAGGAGGATTTTTCTGATCATATTTTTTGATACTAAATAAACTGTGAAATACTTTAAATAATTTAAATTATAGATGAGCATTCTCTACTCATTTTTAAAATGGATATTCATTCAAAATGGAAAATCTAACAACAAAAACAACAACATAAATGTGTACAAAACTTTGTGCGCTGAATGTTCGAAAAAAATGTCGGAAAGAAAAGAGGTTTCTTGTGGGTGGGAAATTGTACTTTGTATTTTGGTTGTTCGAAGTGGAAAGGAATTGATTTAGGTTCTGTTCTGTTTTGAATTAACACAAGTTTGCCAAAAAATGGAATTTGGATGCTTCATATCTTCACGATAGTGGTGGTGGGGAGAATATTGACGTGAAATTTCAATAAATAAGTTTGTTTATTCTTATTTTATTTTGTA